ATCCCTGTTGTTTAATTTAGTTTCCAGTAAAGAGTAGAACCAAAGTAGCTGACTATTGACAATGGTCATTTCCTCTCTTAACTTGCAGTACGTTTGAGTGACAATCCAGTGCAGCTGATCAGTCATTTGTTATCTTTATGTGTTTGTTTGATGCATTTTATCAGGCAGGCTTAGTTGTGTTGGGGTACAGGTACAAAATATATTCCTACTGACCTACCATCACTCTTTCATCTACTAGATTGCAAATTTTTAAGAACATAAAACCAAACAAACCATGTTGTATCACTTGCAAAGCCACAGTGGAGCACTGCAGGTGAGTTGATTTGTGATGGTAAGGACCTTGTAGGCACAGGTTACTGGATAAAGTTACTGGATTTATAAAGATAAATTTTTCAGTTGTATTGCAACTAATGAAACATAGATTTTGCATTTAGTGTGTTCCATTTGATGTATTGAAAATTGATGGAAGAAATACCTTTTTTGGTGATCAAAATCAGCCAAAATAGTCCATCAGCCATCAAAACTTGTTTGTAATGGAGGAGATAATGTAGTTGGAAGATCACAATTTAATACTTCATATGTGACATCTTTTCTTATCCCTTTGTCAGAACAAAGTGAGGAAAAAAAAATAGCCATCAAACACCAACGGTTAACGGCATGTAATATCTTCTTGTGACATATACCTTTGGAAATCAGTTCAGTCCTTGAAAAACAATGTATATTTTTGCATTGTGACTGAACTCAACAATAGTGTGTTTTTGTGGAGTTTCCATGGTGCTTGCGAGAGTGGGTGAGTTTAGCTGGACAAGGGTCAGTGAGGTGGGCTGCAGGTCATTGCTGAGGGGAACTATGGAGATCAGAGGAACAATACAAGCTGTGAGGCTTTCCCTTGTTCTTTGGGTGGTTGGGTGGGGGACACCAGCCTGGCTTTCTAGCACACAAGTACATTTAAATCTGCCCATTTTTTAAAAGACTGTACCAGTATAGTAGCATACTATATTTTTAACAGAACTGCCAACCATTTCCCAAAGTTTTTCGTAATGCTTTTCACATTTCTGTTCAATTCAATTCCTGTGGTAACAGCTTCAAATGCTGTTACCCACAGGAATTGTAAAATGTTAAAAGAAAGGAAATAGTTACTGTTGGCAGCAAACTCTCAAAGCTCGGATTTTAGAGTTTCTTTTAAATGCTCCAAGAAATTTGCCTACCTCATAATGAGA